TCTTGTAAGAGGATTATGGACCAGCATTTTAGACAACTTTCAGACCCAACCAAAACGTTTTAGGCTTTCTCTGTATTTTAGGTTTTCTGATCTTCTTGAATGATATTCGACTACTTTTTAATTTTATCTTAATGTACGTATTCAATATTGGAAATTTTTATTTCGTGTTGATCTCCTAATTTCTGGTGGCATTAGGAAGGTTCCTTAGCTCTACTTCTTCGGTATGTGGAGATGAAGTTCTGGATATCTGGGTCGTGGGAGCTTCGCTGACTTGGGTAGGCACCCCGGTGGAGCCACTAGATCTCATCTTTTTCTTGAGGTCGTAAAACCGCTCGATCCTGACCTTATTGATATACTCCCACTCGAAGTAGCCTATAGGAATGTATACCAAAATGGTTATTTTCATGGCCAATTCCAACCACAGGTTCTCGTTGACAAACCCCAACGAGAGGAATACCAAAACCATTTCTGACACAATCGCCATAGGAAACGTTACCCAATAATGATTGTAGTTCAACCAGAAAAGGAGATACGGCGATGACCGGGTCTTGATTCGGAACGCGTAGTACGTATAGTGGATGATATACGTGGTGCACCACGAGAGGATCAAAAACGAATAGGCGGTATGTTTAGCAATGGTGGGATGAGGAAAGATCACTCCAAAGCACACCCACGCCATTCGGATTCCGTTCAAAAGTGGCCATATGTCTGTAGCAGAGAACTTAAAGCTGATGGTCGTCTTCACGATTAAGAAATCCATCAACGGTAACACCGACACTGCGTGGAAGAAGTCCGCTATTCCTCCTGGAAGAAACCTTCTGCCCACAAGCGGGAGCAAAATTAAAAACCGGCACAAGCAGCAAAACCATACCGTGAATGAGCACACGTTGAACGCAAAGGCGAACTTGAGGTTGGTTGGAAGCGGGTACAAATGTGCCATTCGATGTGTTTACCAGTGTATTGGTGTATTGATAGTTTGGCGATAAAAATTTGGCGACGGTGAAGAACAAACGCGACTGCAAAACTCACCGCCAACAGGAGAATAGAGAATGGGGATGGGATGGCACAACATGTTTGACGAGACACGTAGAAAGGAAAGTACCAGAGCCCGGTGTAGATATGGGGCCAAATTTACAGTCCTATGCGAACCCTGAGCGATGTTCTGGAAGAAATAAATGTATTTGTATCATATACTATTCTATAAGTCTGTCACCAAGCCGGTGTCAGCGAGTAGCGACCAGACAGTGTACTATAGATACACCCACGAAGATCCAGGCCTCGCAGTAGCACAACACGGCGCTGGGAATGGCAATATTCAATGTTTCAGCACATTTGTCGCCAACACCAACACCAGCACAAATCGCCATAGTTGGTACAAAACCAGTACCAGCTTAGTACCAGCCACTAAAGGCCACGAAGATCAACACACCCGCCGCCCACTTGAGAAGTTCACCCACAACCAACGGAATGGCCTGCCAAGGATTTAGCCGACGTCTCGTTACGATGTTTTGTACCGACTTGACTCGGAACAAGATGCCCACTGCTATCAACAAACTTCCCTGAAGGGTGGAAAGATCGAACTTGATGCCGGTCTGGACAGCCATGTTGAACAAAACCACGAAGGATATCACCTTTATCACGCCGCTTAAGAACATTGGGATCGATTAACTAGTTGGCGTGTAATCAAGTAAATGCCACCTGACACTTAGAGGGTGAAAAATGCGGGTTGCAAAAATTGACACTTCATCAACAAAGTGGTCGCGCGACATTGAATAATACCTTAGGATGAGAATTGTGTTTGTGATTGGGTTTTTGATGGCCTTCACGTCGGTGTTGGCGGTCGCCGCCCACTGGGCACCCGAGGACCACGAGATCTTCAAGTTACGGGACCAGGTGGAGGATGATTTGGGCAAAGGTGCCACTTTCTACTCGTGGTTGAACTTGAAGCAAGGTTCCAAGTCCACTTTGGAGGAAATCTCCAAAGCATACCGAAAAAAGTCCAGACTGCTTCACCCGGATAAATTCCACTCCGCCAAGAAGTCTGTGAGGGAAATTGCCGAGGAACGGTTCCAACGTCTTTCGTTGGTGGGAAACATCTTGAGAGACCAGCTGTTGAAGACCAGGTATGATTATTTCCTTGAAAGAGGGTTCCCCAAGTGGAAGGGAACCGGCTACTACTATTCGCGGTTTCGCCCGTCAATGTTGGTGACGGTGGTGTTCTTGTATGTGGTGGTTGGTGTGTTTCACTTCATTACGTTGAGAATCAGTCGCCAACAGGACTTCAAGCGGGTTGTTCAGTTGAAAGAACAGATCAAATACGGGGCTTGGAATGGCAACCTTCCTCCCACGGATGGGCTGAGCATCCAGGTGACGAGCCCCACAAACGGGAAAGAGTTTGTGGTGTATGCCACTGGTGACGTGTCCATGGTAGAAACCGATGACAATGGAAACACCCAACTCTGGCGGTTGGACGAACACGATATCAAGACCAGCGTAGGGTTCAAGGACACATTATTCTTCCGGTTCCCGGTGTTTTTGTATAATAGCAGTTTGGGAAATGTTTTGGGACAAATAGATACGGCAGAGCCGGCGAGTGAGCATCAAGATGATAAGCCCAAGCCAAAGAAGAAGCTGAACAAGAATAAAGGTGATAAGTTGGAGCTTCCAAACGGGAAAGTCATTTATGGCAGAAAAAATTTGAAGAAGAGAAAGTAGAGTAGCCAAATAAAATAAATATATCTAATTTAACGGGTGTAATATTACATACGATAAAGTTACCCACTAAATCATGCATTATGGTTTTTCACTCGCGTGAGCTTATTATCATCGGGACTCAGAGGAGTTGCCAAATCATCGTCATCATCGTCAGAGGAACTGGACTCAGAGAGGTTTTCCAAGAATCCGTCCTGAGAAAAATGATCCACATCATGGTCGTCGTCATCACCGACACCAAAACCTTCGGTATCTGCGAGTTTATCAAGCCGAGGTGTCATGTCTTGGATTCGTACCTCGGCCACATTGGAAGAATCATTTTCTCCCTCGTCATCATCATGTCCAAGAAAGCTTTTGGATTTAGACTCACCTTGATAGTTGCCCATGTCGAGGAATCCGACGGTGGAGGAGTCAAACCCATACTCATGGGTATCGTTGTCGACGTCGTTAGTTTCTCTGTTGGATCCTTCTGCATACTCGTACTTGTCTGAAGGGTCAGCACCCAACACCACGTTATAGACTTCCCTTGTCTGGAGAAGTATGTCGCTGACAAACCAGGTCCATTCTTCAGAAGAAACGGCCTCGACAATTAGGGGAGATATCAAGTCGGGCTTGTAGAGCGACGTGAACTTGACAACTTCTTCGCTTATGAGAATAAGGTGTCCCAAGTAACCGGGTCGCAAGTCGAAATCTGCTTTATATGCGTTGACGATCACTTTGATCAAGTTGGTTTCGTCTTTGCTGAACAAGTGAGAGATCAAGAAGGAATTATATGAGTTCAACTTGCCGTTGAAGATCTGCTGTATCAAGTCAAACACAACGTTGTGGAAGAAGTTGTGCCAGGGATATTCCGTGAATTTGGATATGATGTTCAACATAATTTTGGAGTCAATCAACTTGATCTTGAAGTAGTCTCCAACACAGGGATCGCTTCTGATAGTTGCATCACGGCTTTCACAAACAAACGGATTATCTGTCGATATAGTGGGCTCCTCGTCGTCGCTTTCTTCCTCGATGTCCAAGCTGTCGATTAGTTTGATGAAATCGGGGGTTTCTCCATCTAATAGAGCGTCTATGTTTTGACGAACTCCTTTGGATGAGCTTACCAGACGTTCATCCAACGACATGTTGGTCACATCATGGGATATGTCTTCAACTGAAATGTCTGATTCAGGCGTATCAGAAAAGGTTTCATTCAAAGCTTTTTGAAGCCTTTGCGTTTGCTTGTCCCGGATAATGTCTCTTATCTCAACAATCTTTCTGATCTTCTTGGAGTTATTGAGAACCATATTGGAGCAGTGAAGCAATTCAGCTATCAATTCAGCAATTCTAAACTTCGAAAACCCCAACATATGTGAATTGGTGCTGGTATGATATGGTAGTTCAGGTTCTGATTCTAATAGCTCACAGAATTTGTCCAAGTTATCCGAAAAAATAGCAAGCATTTCTCCCAAGTAAATGGGGTCTTTGGGACCAGGAATATTCTGCTCAAAATCTTTGAGCCACTGAAACATCACATAGGGATTTACCTCGGTTGGTTCTCCATTTGTAGTTTGGAGCAATGAACTGTAAGAACCACAGTTCAAGTCGTAGTCTGAGTTGTTCTTCCTGATTAATTCGATAACTATTCCCACGCAGTTGTTGATACCGTGCTTATTAGTTTGCTTGATACCGGTCTTGGGATCCTTCACGGTGTATAGCATGATATCGTAGACAAATTGCTCGATGGTTTGTTTGGATACCAACTGGCGTGTTAACTGGTTTGGACCGACATTGGCATCAACTGCTACGGCTAAAGCAGTGTTGGAAGAAATAGTAATGAGGGCTTTGATGAAGTCTGTAGCAGCCGTTTGCTTGAAAATCAATTCGTGATTTGGAATGGTGGTGGTGGTTTTATCGAATTGAGAGGAATGCGGTTTCAAGATTTCAATCAACTTGGGAACCAAATCTTGGGCATACAAGGTATCTATGATGCCAGTGGGAGAGTCGGGTTTGTCTGACTGGATCACACGTAAAAAGAAGTCCATCAACATAGGAACTTCTAATTTGCTCAAAAACATATCAACCAAATCGTCTCTGTTTCTGATATAGTTCAAAAGCTCAATGGCGTTGGTGTTCATCAACTGGTCCAAAATCCGAACAATATGGTTCACGCTGGGTGAGCTTTCCACCAAGTTGTCCAAATATACAATCAGCCATAGCTTGTTGATGATAACCGGAGTTTCTATAATTCTATTCGAGATCACCCACAAGTCGATTGAGAGCACATCGGCAGCCACCTGCACGCACCGGCGCATTTTATCTTGGTGGGACTCATGGTCTTCACCCTCATCTTCCTCGTCCTGGTTCGTCGAGTCTCCTGTTTCATCGTTCCTAGCACCTTCTTCGCTTTCACTTTCTTCATTTTCACTACTTTCAGGATCTTTGTCCTCACCATCATCCTGGATGGACCTGCTGTGGTGGACGTCCGTCAACATCCTCTCGAGGTCCTGATTTTCCTTTTCAGACAACTGGTGGAAAAAGTCCACACTCTTGAAAATGTAATCAAGAAACCCACTGAGAATGTGCGGCTGGATCAACACCTCGATCAACTTGACACCCCGAGCGTCCTTGCTGCTGCTGTTATTTCCCACGATGTCACTAGACGACGTAATGGAATTACTGTCTGTATCACTGGCCAAAAGACCAGGAGAGTTGCTGGAGTTTGTGGTGTTCAGCCCCGACCCCAGCGACTGGCCCACTTGGGCATGCTGGAGCAGCTGTGAGAACGCAAACCTATTTGTATTGTTGTACTGGCCCTTGATGTTGTGCAACTCGCTGACGAGTTCTTGCAGTAAACCTGGATCGTCAATTAAGTCACCAATGGACACGGAGGCGTAGTCCTGAATGCCATCAAGGAACTTCTGGAGCTGGCTGTTGCTGTTGAACGAGTTTGTGAATGGCCAGAAAGACATTATCGGTTGGCGAGTGGAATTTGGATTGTTGATGGTATTAGTGGTTGAGGTGATCGGGCGGGTGTTTTGGACTCAAGAAAGCAACGTTATGGAAATAGCCTTATCAGTTACGGACCCTAAAAGCTTTGATTGTGCTTTGTACCAAATGATCACTTGCAGTTTGTCAAGCGTTCAAACAATTGGTTGGAAGCAAATGCTGATAAGATGTGAGGTTGGAAAGCTGTGATCTTTTTAGCGCATTAGTTTTGATTCTCAATTTCTGGCATACAAGATCTCCACCATGGAGGTTTTCATTACTATATTTATATTACATTATACGTTACGTCGTGGGTCACCAGCTGGGAGTATGGGAGGATACTAGTCACTCGTGGGAAGACCTTCCAAGACTTTCAACGCCTTATCCCGTTCGGCTCTGTAGTTTTCAATCATTTCATCGCAAGCCTCGCGGACGATCTTTTGGCAGTTTCTGGCCGAGTGCTCAAGCCATTGTTTGATGGTCATATCCTCTTCTTCTGGAGGCAAAGCTGCAATAAACTGGGTTAGTTCGCCGCCTAAATCGTTCATAAGCGAGTATGGAGCGTTGGCGATGTTTTCAAGGTATTTGAATGCCTCTTCCATATTCTGTAGTTTCTGGCTGATTTGGTCCAAACCTGCTGGTTTCTGGATAGACATGTCTTCCACCATGTTTCGAATGTCGGCTTCAGTAGAAACCGCCGTGTCTTCGGTTGAAGCCGCGTCTTTTTGTTTGAACAGTCCATTTTTGGAGCTAGTGGAATGTGGATCAAGTTTTGAAGATCCAGTGGAAGGTGGATTAGGTGGTTCTAGACCTGCAAACTTGGCAGGAGACGTGAAAGTTCCATGAGCTTCGGGTGCAAATTCCTCATCACTTGAGTCTCCGGACAATTCTTGCATCGACTGTTCAAGCTGTTGGTTCAACTGGGCAATGGTTTTGATTTCGTCGACGTAGTTAGCTACTGACGAGTTGTAGGGTGATGACTTGGGCATTGGTTTTGAAACTTTGATATCTACGTCAGTGGAAGCGGAAACATCTGAAGGTAACGCCCTTTTAACAGGTGACGTTTCAGCAGGTTGTTGTTTGTGTTCAGGATTTGCTTGCTCTTCTTGTTGTTCTTGTTCTTCTTGCTGTTGATCCTCGTAGATAAACGATTGTTCAGCCATATCATCATCAGACTGGCCGTCCTCTAATACCAAATTCCTACGCTCATTCTCGGGTGCTTCCATTTCCAAGATCGAATGCTCGTTCTCATGCTCAGGTTGTTCGTTCTCCATTGAGTTTGTATTTTCGTCTTCGGATTCGTCGTTTTCCAAGATAGAGTTCCTGGTCTTCGTATGCTCCTCGTGGGTGGTATGCCTATTATCAGATTCGTCCGTGGTATCGATCTTAAAGACCTTCGACTTGGGTTTACTGTAGTCTTTGGTAGGACTTGGTTTGGCAGCCTTGACATTGTCCTCTATGAACTGCAAATTGTTATCACCGTAATCACCGATATCTTGGTTAGAAAGATCCATTACAGGAATAGGGTCTTTTTTAATGCCAAGCTTGATTTTACCTTGCTTTGGAGGTTTAAACTGGAGTTCTTCCTGTTTAGGTAAAGTCTTCTTTTTGATTTGTTTTGGCTTTGGAGGCGCTTTTGGAGCTGGGACTTCAGAATAGGAGTCAGAGATTTCAAACTCATCTTCCGAGGGAGATTGGGGTTCCGAAACTTCGGAATCGTCATCAGGTTCCTGAAAGACTTCTTGAGAGACCTCTTGAGAAATTCCAGACTTCTTTGTTCTTCTTGCAAAGCCTGTTGGGAGCAGGGGGATAAAAGTAGGAGTTTCACCTGACGCTTGCCTAATACGCTTGGATCTTCTTAATGAACCTTCCTCCTTGGGTTCTACGTTCTTGGCCATTTGAGAGGCGGTTCTTTTTCTTGGTGCTTTCTTCTTTTTCTCTGCTTTCTTGGGAGCGTTCTTCTCTTCTCTCTGGGGAGGTTTCTGATATGTTCTGGAAGGTTTGACTTTTTCTGGTGGAGATTTGGTAGCATTAACAGCGATTTTTCTAGTCTTTGGAAGAGGTTTTGTGTCCTCCTCAGAGATATCAGATATTTCAGAGATCTCAGACTTACCATTGGCTGTATCATAACCACCATCACTAACTGAATCACTCATACCTTCACCTTCAAAAACCTTTTCAATACGCCTCCTCTCCTCAAGAATCTCCAGAAACCGTTTCGACTGACGACGACCAGCTTGTTCTGTTTCTGAGTAGTCCATTTCAGAATCTACAATAGACTCAAGTTCAGTCTTGGAAGACGCTGATCGGGAATCGAGCTCGAGCTCAAGGTGTTGGTTATTCCCTGTGGATCTAGTCTTTCGAGTCAGAGAATCAGAGTCAGATGAGGAGGTTGAAAGCTGTGTCTCAGTTTGAGTTTGGGTCTGGGTCTCAGTCTGAGTAGGTTGTGTTTCGGAGATAGAAGAATCGGTAGGCTCGTAATTCTCCGAAAAGGCATCAGTAGACTCAGATATCATTTTGTTTTCGATGTCCAGCATCAATTCATACTCCTGTTCCACCGGTGGAGATTCAGGTTCAGGATCAGGTTCACTGGAAGACTTTTCCCTTTCTACTGCCTCTTTCATTCGATGAATATGCAATATGGGATTGTGATCTTGTATCACCTTCTTCTTAATGAGGTTCTTGTTCTTCAAAGATGTTTGAGACTCGACTTCCTCTGGTAATTTTGCCAAAAAGAGCTCGTTCTCGTCCACACTCAGAAACTGCTGTTCTTCGTCATCACTTAGTATATCTAAGTTTATGCTGTTACTGGAAATCGACTGGTTATAAGTACCTCCAGACTTCTCAAGAAAGTAGCAATACTCCCTTGCGTTCTTCTGGTGCTCGAGCTGGGGATCGTCACCCGCTTCCCACGACTCCAAAGTCACCTTACAATACACACATTCCACCTTGTCGTCGATATCTTCATTTGGAGGACAGTAGTAAAATCCGGATTCGGCCAAAGACTGACTGGAGAGCTTCGTATTACGCGTTCGTCCCTTGTCAAACTTCCAGAACCGGCCAAATGTCTTCTTTCTCAACTGAATCGCTTTTTGCGAGATTAGATCTCTGAACAATGGGTCTTGGTGCTGCCAAAACAGTCGTTTGGAGGATTCTTCACACGACATGTAGTTGATCTTGTGGGAATAAATTAATGACAATGGACAATCGGGAGACTGAGCAAGGTGGTGGTCGACTATATTGGAGATTCCATTGACGTTTGTCTCTTTTCTCCTGCAACTAAAACAGGTGATTTGGTCGCCATATTTTTTGGTAGGAGTGAAATAGAACCCACAGTCAGCCAATTGTTGGGGGCTCGGCACATCGTGGGTCCAGTACCGTCCAATCTTCTTATTGAGAGGATAGTTGATATCAAAAGTAAGTGATCTATTATCACTGTACTGCATTATTGATCTTTTTTTCCACTGCCAGTCGCGGTTTTTATGAAGCTGCAAAAAGTCTGTGTATTTATCGATGAAGAGAACTGAAGAAAATGGATTAGTAGGTGTGACCCACCAATAACTGGATGGTCTTAAGCGACTGGTACTTTAACTCATTGTCGTTGTTGGTGTCCAACAAGTTCATGATCAACAACTTGTAATCCTTGTTGCCATTGATGAAGTCGACCAAATCCTGGCCCAAGTTACCGATCAAGTACTGTAAATCACTCAACAAAATCACCTTTTGCAAGTTGGTGTTATCCAGGTTCGTGCCTAACACCTCGAAGATTTTCTTAACTAACTTGAAGTTGTTTTCCTTGAACTGGTTGCTATTTTCCAACCAAAATTCGGAAGACTTGTGGGTGGGAGAAGACCAGCTGAGTAAATTGGGGGTTTCCAACTCTGTCAAGTATTCGTCAAACGATGTCAACTTGTTCTTGACGATATCGTTCAACTCATCGAACAAGTAGTTCAAGTCGCCGGTCAATTCTTCGTCGGACCCGTTGGAGCTGATTTTTCTACTCTTCAAGTTGGTGATCAAGCTCAACCCATCGTTGTGCAAAATCACCTTAATGATCTTAAATTTGTCACTTGACAGGTCGACAATCGACACAAAGTTCTTTAAGATGGACACAGAGATCCGAATGATCTTTATTTTGATGGAGTCTTTGGATAACGTCAACAAATCACCAATTAGTTGGGGATTCTGCTGGTAAATCAACTTATTGATCTTGGGATTGAACGACAATATCCAGATGTTCAACAAGGTGTTGTAGATAAGCTGCAAGTTGGACGAGTTTATGAGGTTTTCATTGGCAACCGAGTAGTCAATGATGGAGGCCAAGCTCTTAAAGTTCTTGGCGAAGTCGGTCTTCAAATACACCAACTTAAACGGCTTTATGATGAGCAAATACTGCAACAACTGAATGGTGATGAACTTGTAGTTCACATCATTACCGTGAATCAACACCGTGTGCTCCCTGAATGCCTTGGAGACGATTTCGTCGTCAATGGCCTTGGTGGCTGAAGCCTTCACTAATAACACCGTCAAGTTGTACAACGACAACGTCTTGATGACCAGGTCGGTATGGCCCAAGTACTTGACAAATGGCTCAAATGGCAAGGCAGCATCGACGTCGGTCAACTTGATCAACTCATCGCCAAACTCCGGTAAGTCAATTAACAAGTCGTTGACTAAACATAAAAGACTTTTCAACACATCGTCTCTGGGGTTATTGTCCAACTTGTTCAACAAGTTCAACAAGGTGCTGGCGTACAACTTGACCTGGTTGGCGATGGTGGAGTTTTTGTTTTCCGTCGATTGTTTTTCCAAGATCTTAATGTAGTTTGCTTCATCTTCACTAATGATGTTGGCTCTCGATAAGCCTTCCCAGGGAATTATTCTTTCCCGGATGACTTTCTTCTGGTCGGCCAAGAACTGGCTGTCGATGGCGAACGAGGACTGGTAGGTTAGTATGCGGCTGGTGGTGGTTGGAGTGGGTGGGAATGGTACATACTTCAATGGTCATATTGTTGGTGAAGGTTGGTATTTCAGGGAGCAGAACGCTCGGAAATGAACGAGAAAAATTGGTATGGGGGCACGACAAAACTTCACCAGTTGCAAAAAACTGAGAAGGCTGGCAAAGGTGAAAGAGGCTGGGAAGATGTTAGTGGTATACGTGGGCAGTAATTGTTAGAATATGGGGGGAAGCTGAAAATACGAAGGATGAAAAAAAAACTGCCGGCCCCAGGAATCGAACCTGGGTCGTTTCTGCCACAAAGAAATATACTAACCACTATACTAGACCGGCAATGTCTGCAGTATCGAGGGCCAAGGAGTGTCTTAACGTGGAATTCGATCGCGACATCCCCTTAATGCAGGGGGTAGATACTACGACATTTCATGGATAGATGGAAGTTGGGTACTATTTCAGGACAATAATTTGCAGGAAAACTACACAAATACAACAGGATGGACATTGAACCCCGTAATGGACGAGAGGAATGGATTTAAGTTATTGAGTCATTAGGACAGGTTAGCAAGCAGTATATGACACTCTATGGGATTAGTATTACACTCTATGGAACTAATACTTGTGCAATACCAGTCACGATAAGGGAGACTTAAATCACCAAAACTACCCTCCCGATTAGGCAGTTTGTTTGGGTCTCATTAACTTACAGATAAGAGTCAACAAATTATAAACTCTCCAGTAGTAAATTACTCTACCTACTCATCTTAAATAACTTAATCAGAGGCTTCTCTAGCAAATTCCTTAGACATGTCAGCATCTGGAATTGAACCACAGATGGTTTCAATCATGATACCAGTCACCAAGTAAGGGTCAATGTTAGAAGCAGGTCTTCTGTCTTCAAAGTATCCGTAACCTTCTTTGGCAACAGATCTTGGGATTCTGACAGACGCACCTCTGTTAGCAACACCAGAAGAGAAAGCTTCCATGGAAGCAGTTTCATGTCTACCAGTCAATCTCAACTCGTTGTCAGTTCCATAAAGCAACAAGTGTTCCTTGTGTCTTTTAGCCAATTTTTCAAGAGCTTCTTCAATGTACTTCATTCCACCTTCCTTTCTCATGTTTTCGGTAGAAACATTGGTGTGACATCCAGCACCGTTCCAGTCTCCCTTCAAAGGCTTTGGGTGTAAGGAGATCTTGGCACCAAATTCTTCGGCAACCTTGGACAACAAGTATCTGGCCATCCATAATTGATCTCCCATGTCAATTCCTTCACAAGGACCAACTTGGAATTCCCACTGAGAGGGCATCACTTCGGCGTTGATACCACTGAGGTTGATACCGGCGTAAAGACAGGCTCTATAGTGGGCCTCGACAATGTCTCTGGCAAACACTTTACCAGTTCCAACACCACAGTAGTAAGGACCTTGAGGAGCTGGGAATCCACCCTTAGGCCAGGCATAGGGTTGATCAAATTCATCGAAAAGAGTGTATTCTTGTTCGAGACCGAACCAGACCTTTTCATCTTCGTGGGCCTTCATCAACTTGGCACACTCGTGTCTGTGGTTGAACTTGTTTGGAGTTCCATCGTTGTTCCAACATTCAGACAATACAATGATGTTTTCACCTCTTCTAAAAGGATCGGGGTAGAAAGCAACGGGTCTCAAGTACACGTCGGAGTCGTGGCCAGGGGCCTGGCCGGTGGAGGAACCATCAAAGTTCCATTCGGGCAAGTCATCGACACTTGAAGGTTTTTTGCTCAAGGTCTTACACTTGGATCTGGTGTTACCTTCGGAGTCAATCCAAACGTATTCGGCAAGAACGCTACCTCTTTGATCCAAATCAAGATATTTGGCCAAGATGGCGGTTTGTTGGGTAATGGCAACCATTGTGTTAAGATGAATTAAATAACAAAAAAGCTAAGAGTTACTTCAAAAGAAGAAATAGTTTTTTTGTGCGATTGGCTGCTGAGGATATTTGTGATTTAAATGAGAAACGAGAAAAACTCCCGCTTCCTGATAAGCAAGACTAGTCGCCTCGGTGGAATAGTCACTCCCAATAGCGAAGGTGCGCACTTGAGGGTTCAGCCAATCACCCTGTGCTAGATAGCCTGATAGCACAGACTTTCCCAGACAGATCCTCTTGCAGATGCTCTCCTTTTACGTTCTATGCAACAAAAACCATTCCACTTACCTAATGGAGTATCTCGTCGCTGCCTATCCCTGTACCTATACTGCTTTCTTCTTATCTTTGTCTCCGCTTTACCAATTGTTGATAACTTTAGGGTGTCAATGGCTTCTACGTGCATGATGGATCTTTACCAGGTGTCACCCCACATTGAGTCTACCAACCCCTTTATTCAACTATTAACTGTCAACCACCCAACCTCTAGTAACCAAGTCATTGGACTCTTGTGAAAATGTATCCATCCCGAATTAGCTTTTATAGGAGAACAGAGCTGTCCTGCACATACCCGGGGACTAATAGGCCCGGTTCGGCGGTTCAGCCAATAACGCGACGGCTAACAGTGATTGGGCTTTTTACGAAATAGTGATTGGGCCAGAGAGGCGCTGCGAGCAATGGGGGATTGTGTGCATGATAGTGTTGTCGCAAGGGTGGTGGGTCATTAGTAGTGTTGGCGGTCGATGGTTATGTAAGTTTTGATGAAAGTCTGTGTCCCGATTAGAAAGGGCTGGGGGGTGTATGGGTCAGAACTTGCATGGACACTCCGTTGGAATTGGCGGGCCCATTCCGATCGTATTATCTTACGGAACTTTAGGCGCAAATGCCGACTTACTGTCCAGCTCCCAGGGAATCAGAAAGTCGAAACCCCAGATGGCATGTAAGGTACACTAGGCTAGAGGAACCGGAAAATTCAAAGTATTGTCGGAGTTGGCTAAATCGACGTCTTCGAACTTTATCCGCACACGTACCCTGAACCCCCACCAATACCCGCCCCAACAATGCGCCCCCATACACCAGAGATTTCGTAAATGCGCGTTGTTCTGAAGATAAAGCTTTTTGCAGCTACTTTCCTAGCCATATACTGTTTCACTGATATTTTATATCACCTAGTTCAAAACCTTACTTCGAACATATCTCTCTTATATATAGCATTGTGGGCCACTCTGGTCTATTAGGATGGAGGAAGTCTCGTTTGCAGAAAAGAGCCTCAACTCGGTATCTGGCCCAAAGCATAGTTTTATTAAGATTTATATACACTAGTGATATTATTGTTCCGAAAGCAATCTCACTTAAAATTTTCTCGTGAAGTCCTCA